ATGTTTATGTGGAGATTGAATATAACTGTGACCCTGTGCTTGTTTGTATACTTACTATGGTCAAACAGGGAACAGCACATTCACATAACATACTCACCTAGCACCTAACTCATAGCTGTACCCTGCAGGATCTGTACTTGTTCATGTCTCGAGCATTAACAAAGCACTAAAGTAGCTAAGTAATCACTTCCCACATTTCTGAGCATCTAACATGACATACAGCAGTGCAGAGCAGCTTCAGAGAAGAAACACTTTAAATGCACAGACTCACACCAGCCACCCAATGAGCCAGTTCCTCAGTTGACTGTTTCCCTGGATGCAGCTTGGCAATGTGAGCTAACTTTTGGCAAGTTGAAGGTTAGCAGGTAAGATTGAGTTAGGGTGAGTACCTACCTATAACTGTCTTAAGGACATGATGTGGAGTTTGTTAATGTAATGGGTAAGTGAATAAGGACTTTACTCCACAAGAAATCGTTCGGGTCGGAGCTTTCGAATCAGGGTTGGCAGGGGGTGGCAAAAACTGGTTTTTGCCAGTGGTTTTAACCGGTTTAAACCGGCTGGCAGAAACCCCGGTGGCAAAAACTGGCAAAAATTGGATAAAACTCAGGTGGCCCAAACCACAACTGTTCTAGTTAGGAATGGATCTGAAATGTACAAATGTATTTCTAGATGTCATAGAGATGCACCAAACATTCTGAAGTTTGCCTCATTACTTATCTCCGCTTAAAATGTCTATGCATGTCCTGATCCTCGTTCGCTCTACGGGTCGTGAACGACTGGAACCTACTTCCGGCTGAGGTGGTGTGCGCCCCATCGATCAACTGTTTCAAGGCGAGGCTGGATGCACACTGGTCCCACTTAAGATACACCATTTCCGACTCTGATTGATCCTCGACAAGCCAAATACCAGGAGGCTCGATGAGATCGGGTACGACAGGCTATAAGCCTAAAAATCCCGATACCGTATGGTAAGGTAAGGTAAGGCAGACATCCACCACAGAATGTATTTCCATGTAGGGGAGAGTGGGGCAAAGCGGCCACGGTAGGGTGCAGTGCGCATATCATTGGCAGATACCCCTTCGCACTTCTGATTGTGCAGGACTCACTCTTGCACTGGCTCATTTGTCAACCTCAAAACTCAAAAGGCGTCTTACTGGTTCCTTATGGAAAGCCCATGAAAGTGTTTTTGAGTTATAGAACACTTCAACGGTCAATGTCACTTCTGTTGGAAAGCATTAAGCTTTCACCGAATTCTCCTCAAAATGTTACTTGTTTAAATCCGTGTCTAGGCATATCATTGTGATGGTTTTTAGTTTTTGCCAGTTTTTGCCACTTTTTGCCGGTTAAAACCGGTTTAAACCGGCAAATGGCATAAACTAGTTTTTGCCGGCAAAAATGCCAACCCTGTTTCGAATTGTATTACAAAACTTCGTCAGCGAGTCGTAATCGGGTTCGAGGGGTATCGGTCGCAAAATATTTGCGACCGATACCCCTCGAACCCGATTACGACTCGCTGACGAAGTTTTGTAATACAATTCGAAAGCTCCGACCCGAACGATTTCTTGTGGAGTAAAGTCCTTATTCACTTACCCATTACCTATAACTGGGTGCTACTGCTATGCAGGTCTTGGGTAGGCTGCAAATATGTGTGATGATTGAGGCTAGGTCAGCTGTCAGGCTAGTCAGGAGTATGCTCATTGCTCAGGTCACATTTTTATGGACACTTGGCAAATTAAAAAACTAACGATCTAATCTAAGCTAACCTGACTAAACATACACAACTACTGACTATAGGAACTAAGCACCTACCTACTTGTGCATACATCTCATACCATGTCAAAGTAGAGTTCCTTGGTGGAAGATTACCCTCAGTACTTTTTATCCCAGCCCTGTGAAGAAAACTAATGCTTCAAAGCTCTGAGTCACTGCTGGCCATCCACAGGAAGAAACGCTGAGACTGAGAGCTTTGCCATTGTATATTGGACCAATAATCACTGTCACCGCAACGGTGGGGAATTGATAACACTACATGTCAAGTTGAAGGCGTCTGAGCGATACTTCGTCTACACTGACTACCAACGTTGTACCGCAATATATATCCACGCCAATTTCCAATATGTAGTGTTATCAATTCCCCACCGTTGCGGTGACAATCACTATCACGAATGACTATAAACACATTATATGATCACATCGTTGCATGGATTATCACATTGACAATTCTACTATAATCCTTTTTTCAAGAAATACAGTGATGATTAACATCAAAATCAACATAAAGTGGATTTAGTGATCCAAGCTTTCTCCTCCAGTAGCAATAGAATGATCGCATGTTTCATTTGCCAGACACTGAGTACCTGATGCACATTACAATCTGCATAGCATGAAGCATCTAAGCTGCCCAAGTCCATTCATTCTAGATATTTAACTTGAAAGTTAGCACTAATTTATCTTGCTGTTGTAAGTTATCATTCAATATCCATACCAATACATCAATATGCGTTCACCAGTCAACATTTTCTGGCATGATCCTGCTCAGCGTGCTCTTCAGTAGGTATTGCTCTAAGGTCTGCAATATTATAGCTTGTTTTTGGCCAATAAGCTCTTTTAATTTTACTTTTTCTTGCTGATATATGAGCCCGATCACCTTGCGTTTATCAACCAAAATTTCATAACTTGTTCAACTTGATATTGATATTGCTCAGGAGTCAGGACCTCTGTCAGCCTCCTGGATACTTCGGATTGTTTTCAGTCAACATGCTTCTTAAATATGGTATAAGTCAATCTTAAGGGATTCAAAACATCCAACAAAACGATGTACAAGAGCAAGAAAACCACCAGATAAACTAAAAAATGGGCTTGGAATGGTGTGCTCCATTTGTTTGTTTACAATGATTGTAGTGCTGATGTATTTTTAGGACTCTGAACGTCGGCTTATAAAAAATGAAACGTTTTTACAAAAGTTGTAAGGCAAGTAATATTTATCTGAAAGAACTAAAATATTCAAAAGCCAAACACTATGAAATACATGAATCGGAACGAAAAAGTAACCCAAAAATCCAGCCTAATCACCGGCTCCTAAAACTGCAACAAAATCAGCACTTTTCCCCGCAACTCGTTGTCCAGACGTAAATATGCGGTATTTTGCGCCTTATTGTTGTTGTCGGCCAGATTCTGAAGTCTGAAGTTCTTGATCGGACGTTTTGTTCTGTTTTTTGGCTGAAATCGATGCTTGAAGTATTCTCTTTTCAACATGGGTTTCAATACAGAGTGTGATTTAATTCGTTACATTTGGTGCCGAAACGCTCGGGAACGGGATCTTTGATTTTCGTTTTGTGATCTCGCGTCAAGATGAGCACTGAAAAGCTTCGAAAGAGAGCGGCAGCGCGAGGATGGATGAGTCGCTGTCGCCGTAAGTTGGAGGAGTTGCTCGAGTGCCAAGGCATTGATGTAAGCGCCCTTCAGACAGCTAAAGGTGATTGTGAGAAAAGACTGGCACTGTTGGATGAAGCACAGTCAGAAGCCGAGCTCAGTTTCCCCTCAGAGGCAGAGATGTTAGATGATATTGAGAGTGCTGCCGAGTTCCGAGAGGGGATAACTGATGTGCTGAACAGAGCTGATGCTGTACTGAGCAAGAAGCCCTCAAGTTCCATTGGATCCTCGCAAACAGGCCATCTGCAGCTACCCAAACTAGAACTAGGTACCAAAGTTTGGAGGAGATGTGCTGCAGTGGCAGTCCTTCTGGGAGTGTTTTGAGGCCGCAGTGCACAATGCTGATCTGCCTGAAGTGACCAAATTCGCTTACCTGAGATCATTCCTCGTGGGTGAAGCCAAGGAGTGTCGCTGGCCTGCCTCTGACTGGAGCAAACTACAGCAGTGCTTGCGACCTGCTGATGAAGAGATTTGGGAGGAAGGAGGTGGTTGTCTTCTCCCACATTCAGCAGCTGCTCTCTGTTCCGGAGGCGTCATCCTCGAGCGTCCCATCCCTTCGAGAACTTCAAGACCGTCTTCAGGTCCACATTCGCAGCTTGGCATCACTGGATGTCGGAGGTGACCGTTACGGCATTGTTCTGGTCCCTCTGATTCTGTCGAAGCTGACCCCAGACATTCGCCTCGAGTGGGCCCGTGAGGGCTGTGGCAGGGAGTCGGACCTGGATTGGCTGATGAGCTTCCTGTCTGAAGAGATCAACCGCAGGGAGCGATCCTGTGCGTTCAGCAGACTACAGGTGGCGTCTGCTCGAGAGACTGCTGCGTCCACCGAGAGTCGACCGAAGACCACAAACGGCCCTCAGCAAAGGAGGAAGAAGGAGCCGCGTGAAAGGGTGCCAGCAGCAGCAGCTCTGCAGTCAGGAGCGAGTCCGGGGTGCCCTTTCTGTGGGCAGACACACCAGCCTGAGGTATGTGTCAAGCTTCAGCCCCTGTCTGTCCCCGAGCGTAGAGATGCCATCCGACAGGCAGGACTGTGTTTCCGCTGCCTGCATGCTGGGCATGTTGCACGAAAGTGTAGGGCAGTGTGCGCTGAGTGTGGTGGACGGCACAATGTAGTGTGCTGTTTCAAGCTACATGGAGGGGGTATGCAGCGCGATCAAGGGGGTGCGACAGGAGCCAGTGATAGCAGTATCCGTAGCAGTGGCTCAAACCCAGCTCAGCATCCATCCCTGTCATGCAAGAGTGGTGGTCTGGAGAGGAGCTGCACAGTGCTGCCCACCGCTCGTGTAACTGTAGTAGGTCGCGGCGGACAGCGAGTAGAAGCCACTGCGCTTTTCGATACAGGTAGTGATAGGACATATGTCAGTGACAGACTCGTTAAGTCAGCTGAGCCCGAGTGGGTAGTCTCTGAGACAGTATCCTATGCGGCATTTGGAGGGACTGGCTCATCTGCTGAGCACAGAGATGTGTACCGAGTGGAGATGGTTGGCTCCAATGTAGCCTCTCCGACAGCCCTTTCCGTTCAGGCTATCAGGATCCCTGTGATAGGCATGCCACTCCAGCGCCCACGCATGCCTGCTGCTGTGCTGCAGTCCTTCAGTCACCTGGAGCTGGCTGATCCGCCCTCTGACAGACAACTGACTGTAGACATACTGGTGGGGCTGGACTGCTACTGGGATCTGATGAAACAGGGTGAGATTCGGCTGGAAGGGGGACCCGTGGCGCAGGAGACCGCACTTGGGTGGATCATCTCCGGTAAGGTGAGTGCGCCAGATGGTGCTATGACGGTGGGCAGCGCCACAAGTCTGCTGTGTCTTGGTGACATTCACGAGCGGTCTCTGAGGCGGTTGTGGTCCCTCGAAGGGATTGGGCTCAGTGAGCCAGAGGAGACCGATTCTGAGGTGCTTACCCACTTTGATGCATCTGTGAGCAGAGTTGATGGTAGGTACGAGGTGGCGCTGCCGTGGAAGGCTGGCAGCGAAAAGAAGCTCGAAGAGAACAGGTCCGCCGCTGAGGCGCGCCTGTCGGGTCTGTCTCGTCGGCTGGACAGAGACCCAGAGCTGGGAGTGGCCTATTCGGAGTCACTCCAGGAGATGGAACAGGCGGGTGTGGTGGAGGAGGTTCCCAGCCACGAGCTGGATGGTCCTTATCCTTGCTTCTACCTGCCTCACCGTCCTGTTGTAAAGGAATCCAGCACTTCGACTCGGGTGAGACCGGTGTTTGACGCTTCTGCAACCGGTCCCAATGGTGTCTCGCTCAACGATTGCCTTGAGGTGGGACCCTGTCTGATTCCCAGTCTTGTAGACGTGCTGCTTCGTTTCAGACGCTGGAAGGTGGCCGTGACGGCGGACATCAGCAAAGCCTTCCTGCAGGTGGGCCTCAGGAAGGAAGACAGGGACGCTCACAGGTTCCTCTGGATTCATGAGGGTCGGAAGCGGGTGATGCGCTTTCGAAGGGTGACCTTTGGGGTCAGCTCCAGTCCGTTCTTGTTGAACGCGACTATCCGCCATCACCTTTCAAGGTATCCCTCCTCTCGCGCGATAACTGAGATGCTCGAGAACTTTTATGTTGATGACCTCCTTTCGGGAGCCGACTCTGAGCAGGAGGCGAGCGCTCTGCTGACGGAGGCTCAGGCCGTGATGGCTGACGCCGGCATGATCCTGACGAAGTGCACGTCAAACAGCTCAGTGATGTTCGACAAGGCTCACGCTGCCTCTGGCACAGGCGAGCTCGAGAGTGTGAAGGTCCTGGGGGTGAGTTGGAGTCCAGCTGAGGACGTCTTCTCGTTCGAGGGCCTCACTGTCCCTGCTGATGTGACTCCGACCAAGCGTGTGGTGCTGAGCTGCATAGCTCGGCTATTCGATCCCTTGGGGTTTGTTGCTCCGTTCGTGATGGTTGCAAAACGCATCTTCCAGGAGCTGTGGAAGCTCGGTATTGGGTGGGATGATGAGCTTCCCTCGGAGTCCAGCCTGATGTTCATGGAGTGGCTGAAAGGCCTGGAGCTGCTCCAGCAGATTCACATTCCCCGCTGCCACTCGACTGAGGGCTGGAACCGTGGTGCTGGCGTTTCGATTCACGCCTTCGGTGACGCCTCTCCTAAGGCTACCTCCGGATCTCCCAGTCAGATGGCTCTGTTGAGGTGACCTTGGTCATGGCCAAGGCGAGGTTGGCGCCACTGAAGAGTGTTACTCTGCCACGACTTGAGCTACTGGGAAGTCTTCTGGCTGCACGCCTGGCCGTTCTTGTGAGGCAGGCTCTGAGGCTTCCTGATGACACAGAGACTCGGTGCTGGACAGACTCGATGATCGCACTAGGATGGATCCGTGGCGAGCCTAGGCGATGGAAGCAATTTGTTGCAAATCGAGTGACGGAGATACAGGGTCTGGCCGCTCCGTCGGACTGGTCTCATTGCCCAGGTGAGGAGAACCCAGCAGATCTGACGACCCGCGGAGTATCGGCTGAGTGTCTGAGCGGATCGGAGCTGTGGTTCCGTGGTCCCAGGTGGCTGGCTACGCCTCAGGCTCGTCCCGGGGCTGATGAGTCAGTGCCTCTCGTGTCCAGTGAAGAGCTGCCGGAGGCAACACTTCTGTCGTGCGAGCTGGATGATGCCGGTGTCTCGGTGGTTGGGAGCGCCGGCCTCCCAGCTCTGGTGACTGCGGCACAGAGTGCCCCAATATTCGACTGCAGCCGCTGGTCGTCTATGAACAAGGCGGTCAGAGTGGTGGCTTGGGTGAACCGCTTCCGCCACAACGCGCGGTCTGGGCGTCACAATCGGTCCACTGGCGATCTCTCGGCCGAGGAGTTGGTGGCGGCCAGGCACCTGCTGCTGCGAGAGGAACAACGGCTGGCCTTTGCAGCGGAGTTCAGCGCCCTACAACGGGGCAAGCCAGTACCTAAAAATTCGAGGGTATACCGTCTGTCCCCCTTCATAGGCGACGACGGGCTCCTGAGAATCGGGAGCAGGCTTCAGGAGTCTGAGTTGACCAGTGAGGAGCGACACCCTGTTTTGCTCCCAAAGGGACGGGTGGCCGAACTGCTGGTGTGGGACCAGCATCGTATGATGTGCCACTGTGGTGTGTCTACTCTGATCACTGCACTCCGAGCGGCCTTTTGGATCGTGGGTCTCCGCTGCCTGGCAAAGCGCATCAAACGCTCGTGTTTGGTTTGTCAGCGACAGGATGCTGTCCAGTGTAACGAGCCGGCGGCGCCGCTCCCTCGCGACAGGGTAACCCGTGCGCCGCCGTTCTCGGTCACAGGAGTGGATTTCGCGGGGCCGATTTTCGCGGTGGACTGCCCGCGAAGAAAGTTCTATGTGTGCCTATTCACCTGCGCTGTGACACGCGCAGTGCATCTGGAGTTGACAGGATCACTGTCACAGGCTGACTTTTTGATGGCGCTCAGGCGTTTCGCTGCCAGAAGGACTCTGCCGTCAGTTATCTATTCAGATAACGCGCGAACGTTCAGCGGAGCCGATCAGCTGATGCAGCGGTACTTTGGCCATCTCGCTCCCCGGTGGAAGTTTATCGTGCCAAACTCACCGTGGTGGGGCGGTTGGTGGGAGCGACTGGTGCGCTCCGTGAAGGTGAGACTCAGGAAGTCGCTCGGCACAAGATGTCTCACTCAAGTGGAGTTTGAGACTGTGCTGACTGAGGTCGAGTCATGTGTGAATTCACGTCCACTGACTCAGGTGACTGACGCGATCGACTGCGAGAGTCCACTGACGCCCAGTCATTTCCTCACTGGACGTGGCGCCGGCTTCCAGGCCAGGCTGCTCATGCTGGAGGATCCAGAAGCGGTAAGTGGTAGAGCGCTCTCCGACAGGGCTAGGGTACGGGAGAGGCGTCTGAACCGTTTCTGGACGGTCTGGAGGGATGTATATTTGCGGAACCTCCCTCACTCGGTGCGCAAGTTTTCGCATCAAGGTCAGCTACAGCCGGGGTCGGTGGTGCTCGTCAGGGAGGATAACGTTCCCCGAATGAAGTGGGTGATGGGGACCGTCACAAAGCTGTTCCCTGGCAGAGATGGGGTGACCAGGTCTGCTGAGGTTCGAACCCAGGGAGGGCACTTGAGGACCCGGGCAGTCCAGAGACTCTATGACTTGGGACTACTCGACTGATGCCCTCCACCTGACAGCAGCAGGCAGCGCGCTCCTCTTCTTACCTCTGTCCCCTCATAGACAGTTCGAATGAGAAAGGGCTGGACGGATTGAGGCAAAATAGGTTTGGATTGTCAAGGCAATTCAAAGGCGGGGAGGATGTTGTGAATTTAGTTGCGACTCGCTATTAGATCTGCGTCGTTTTGTTGTCTTGCTTTGTTGTTTTGTTGTATTGATGTCACGGATGTGTGAATTGGAGTTGAGTGTTTTTGCCGCGTTGGGAGGTGCGGTCGTGGTGAGCCACGTGACCTTTGTCAAGGCTGGTATTTTGCGCCTTATTGTTGTTGTCGGCCAGATTCTGAAGTCTGAAGTTCTTGATCGGACGTTTTGTTCTGTTTTTTTGGCTGAAATCGATGCTTGAAGTATTCTCTTTTCAACATGGGTTTCAATACAGAGTGTGATTTAATTCGTTACAGGCGGCACTGCGCTGAGGGGCACCAACGCCAAATTTACAGGGTAGATGTGTCCATAGAAGATCTCACCTCTGTGCAAATTTGGTTGTTCCAGGTCAAAATTCAGGGTTTTTTTGGGAGGGAGGTATAAATGCAACAATTTCGCTAAAACAGGTCAAAAGTTTTTCGCTTATTCCTTTTCATGTAGTTAACACAGAGCAAAAAGAAAAGCACTAGTGAACTCAGCACATCTGTGCGCATGGAATGGTATACTGATCGAACGTACAATGAGGTGAAGTACTACGAATATATACAGTTAACCATTAGTGATAGTCTATTCTACGATACCTTAAAGGGACCCTCCCACCTTAACATTAGTTTTGAGTTGAGATAGCCAAGTTTGCGGCCAGGCTCAGAAACCACCATTTATCCTGGTCGCAACCCCCGCAGCTTTATGGTGTTCAAGAAATTTCTTCCCTTTACTTGCAGGGTGGGACCAGCGTGGTCCCTATCTCTTAAACGGGAATCTGATGACGTCATCAGGCTTTCGAACGTCCGTTAAATGTTTGACTAAAACGTTTTGTAGCACGCGGTGGTATATGCTGCTTTGCGCGCAACAAATGCCGCACTTTCAAATAAAGTCGCTAGGAACAGCGGAGATCCCAAAAAGTAAACAAAAGTAAAAGTCTAATATCTTGAAAACCGGTGAATATTTTTCGATGAAATTTGGTGGATATTCGTTTTTGCTCTTTCTGAACCGAGCGACATCACTTTCATGCCTATTCATTAACTTTTTTGAAGGTGGGAGGGTCCCTTTAATGATGATGATAAGAGGCGAAACATTTAAATTTTCTAAGAGTAAAGCAAGAAACACACGGAGTCTAATTTAGAGAAGGAAGTTGCAAAAGCAGAAACGAAACTTGTAAGATCGATAAGATAACCCGGCAGGCGGCGGGCCTCCCGGCCACCTTCCGCGCGGTGGGGGGGGGGGGCATTTTTTTGCCCCCCCCCCGAAAAAAAATATTTATCTTATTTCATTATTTCATTTCACAACTTGGGGCTGTAATAGCCACGATGCATTGTGGATTGCCCTGCAATTGTAATACAATACAATACAATAATACAAGGTCAAAGATTGACCTCAGGTCACGTGACCTTGAGGTCATCGTGTATATCATTCGATGCGCCTTGACGAGCTGAACACAATGAGACCATCCGCGCGGCTGTATCTTGTACCTGTACGGAGTTATTGGCAAAAAAAACCTTTGGTGAATTTTGATGACTTCACATGACCTTACAGCTGCCCAACAGCAAAACAGACCTCACCTCAAGGTAGTGAAGGTTGATCGTATATGAAGTCATGTATGATTTATGAGCCATTCCGACCCGTTTTAGTGGTAAAAACAGGGAGTTGATTTTTCCCCCGTTGACTTATAATGGGTAGGTCGAGAAATTGACCTGACCTTAGGTCATCGATATCAAAATTCCGAGATGAAAAAATTGTAGCTACTAATGACGTTATAACATCCTGCGACTTTCAAAGGCCTCCGACATCTACTGTAGCTCTGGCACGGTGACAGAGTTGCAAAAAAGTGACTTGAGGTTTGGTCATTCAAAGTGACCTGCAGTGACCTGACCTTAAGAGTTAGGAGATTCAAACTTGCACACCATGTGTAAAATTGATGAGATAATAGTCGTACCAAATTTCGCGGCGCTACACGCCGCTATCCGCCCCCCGTCGGTGCGCGGGATAGTGTTGCAGCGTGACCTCCAGGAATTGCCCGAGGTATCTCGGAAACCGTTGTTCGAAGAAAAAACCCTTGCCACAGTTGGCTTCCCGCCCATGATAACCCTTTGGACCAATTTTGAATAGAAAATAAAATATGCGGGTGTCAATTTTTTTTTTGTTGATCTATCGTGGAATGCCCCTCATATATGTCTGCCCGCCCATTCGTTGCACACTGTATGTACTTACAGCACCCGGCCCCGCCAGAAGGATCCTAGCGCGCTGAGAAGTTGCCTCCAGCCGCGTCATCGCGAGGCCCCGCGAGGCCCATAAATGAATACTTAACCCGCGCCCCAGTGGCGGTCTCAGCCAACCTCGCCCTAGTGAGGGGGGGCATATGTTACCACCCACCTCTAACTCAAAAACTAAGAGGGCTAGAAAGACGCGGTAAAAAGCAGTCGATAGCTCTCAATGCGTACGTTTGAAAGTATTTCGGTCATTTTTCACCTTAGAGCAATATTGGGGTCACCAGAGGTCATCAAAGGTCAAAATTTGCCAATTGTCATTATATTTTTCAGAAAACATGCCGCTATCTCAGGAACTATGGTAGCTAGAAAAACGCATGAAAAAGCAATCGATAGATTTTGAACTCTGCTTTTGAAAAGGTCATTATCAATATTGACCTCAGGTCAACGGTTTAGCCTCTAGAGGGCAAAAACTCAAAAAATAGCTGTTTTTACGAAAAGTGTTTTTCGACAATAACTTTCGACTACAAAAAGCCACGACATATATATTGCCAGAATCGTGTTCCCCTCGCCGAGACGCGTCGAATGAACTATAATTTGACCTTGAAAGGTCAACTTGAAAATTTGACCTCAGGTCAAGGTCATGACCTGACCGGAAAAGGTCATGTTGCATATCAGTCGATGCGTCTCAACGAGGCAAACACAATGAGACCATCCGCAGCGTTCTATCTCTTTCCAATCGCGAGTTATTGGAAAAAAAACTGTTTGTAGCCTCAAATGACCTCGGATGACCTTTCTAGAGGCTATCAGCAAAAATGACACCTTGGTCATCACGGGTGGTCCAAATCATTGTGATTCTGAAATATTTGGACTGTTCCTATGCGTACACACGGATCTAGAGGCATTTTCATTTTTCTCCATTGACTTGTAATGGAAAGGTCACTCCACTGACCTGACCTTAGGTCACGGATATAAAAAATCCGAGATATACAAATTGTAGGCGCCCATAACAGCATACAATCCACGAAGTTTAAAACCTTTCTGACAAATACTGCAGGCTGGACATGATTGCAAACTTTGTTTTAGGCTTGGTCAGTTAACCTGACCTGGTGACCTGACCTGACATGACCTGGGGTCAAAAATTTCACACATTGTCCAAAATTGATGTACCAAAAGCTACCCCAAGCGGCGCGGCGCTACGCGCCGCGGTTTTTTATTCAAACGCGAAAAACGCGACAGGGTGGTAACATATGCCCCCCCCCCCCCACTGGGGCGAAGGTTAACGTGAATAGCCGTTGCTGAGCGTATAGGAAGGCCTTAAATTAATTATTGTTCATTTGTTTTAAACTAAGACTAAAGCTAATGTTTAAAAATTGAGGTTTTTTTGCCCGACGTTTCGCGTTTATTGCTTATTCATGGGCTAATGCTAAAACATAATTTCGTCGACATACATATCAAAAATTCAAATAACATCATTGACAGCACGCTTCACTATAAACATTGTCTTTCGCTAAAAGATATCGTATCCGTTCGATCGATCGATTGTGTTCCTTCGTATACATACGTCCATGCATCCGTTCATATCTATCGCATGTCTTTGATCTGGGATGCTATAATATCATGTAGTTTGAAGAAGCCTGGCGATACGTTTATCACTTTTTCTGTGGAAATGTAAGCGGCCTCTATCAGCCACCGACGTGTTTTCGTTAAACCTGTGTGTATGGCCTGTGCTTCTTTCCAGTTTGGTAGATGTCCTTCTTGATCTGCGTGAATGACTAATGCCTTGGATGTTCTGTGATTGCGTAAGTCATTTTTGTGCTCTTGAATACGTTTTCTTAGACCTCTCCCCGTTTCTCCGAAATACGATTTATCACATTTGCTGCAAGGGATTTTGTACACAATACTGTCTGAATCTACTTCCTTTGGCTTTTTTTCTAGCAAGTATCTGCCCGACCTTCTTTCCCGAAGCTGATACTACTCTCAGATCAGGCGCCAGCATCTTTGCTATTTGATCAGTTGTCTCACTATTTGGTGCAATAAAATATGCCCTTTTCTTGTCTTGTGCATCCCTCTCTGTCCTGGGCCTGTGTCTGATCTGTTTTGCTTTTTTTGTAACTCGATCAGTAGAGCCTCGGGGAATTTCAACGCCATGAATGCTTTCTTAATGTAATCTAGCTCGTCCTGTAGGAACTCAGGAGAGCAGATACGGTAGGCTCGCAAAAAGAAACCAATGACTATGCCTGTCTTACTTCGCAAGCTGTGTGCCGAAAAATAGTGCACGAAA